AAATAACACACTTATTAATTTCTACTGCATGGCATATTTCATTAAAAATTAATGAAGTTTAGAAAAAGAAAATTGCCATTGTTAACAAACTTTATAAGATAAACAATGCACTTAACTTTTACCAAAGTATTTACTGAGAATCATTTTGAAAATATTCTTAACTTTAGCACTCTTCCAACAAAAGCTGAATTAAAATACCATTATTTTTCCCTTCTTTGGCAAGAACCAAAGTCTGGGCTCAAGGAGTTTCTGTTGTTTTTGGACTGCTGTCATGACATCCCTGCTATCTTACTCGGTGAATATTATTTTCAATGCTTTAATTCTTGAATAAAGAGAAGTACTTAAATTATGCAGATATAACAAAGACACAAAAATGTCTTCAGCACATTCACCAATAACACTAGTGTTTCCCTTTTTACTTCACAATTTTCTCCACAATTCCATTTTAAAAAGTTTGCCAAATTGAACTCTACAAATAATGAAATTTAGCTTTGAGAATACATAACCTTAAAATTAATCTGGTGTATTGTCACCTCATGCCATACAAGGTGAAAATTAAAATCAGAAGCAAGTTTTCTGGCACCTTACATTGGTCTTATTGTTCTTAATGAAAAGGAAAAAAAAAAAACTTGTTTGATATATTTAAAGGGAAAAGGGGATATTTAGAAACCAGACCTAGTTTTCAATTCAGAGTTCATCAGGCTAAATAAACAACTCACACTATGAAGAGATGGCTCATCAAGAACAACAGAAAAAGCATGTTAGTTGAGATTAACCCACAGTTCATCATCAGGCTTAATGAACAACCAAATTATAAACAAATGACTCATCAAGACCAACAGAAAAAGCGTGTTGGTTGAGACTAATCCACAGTTCATCATCAGGCTAATTAACGCCAACAAAACAAACAAGACTGAACAGCAGTTTCATCAATAATAACAGAAAAAAACATCTTAATTGAGTATTCTTCAATTTCAAAATAACTGTAATAACATTTTTACACAAACACACACACATATATATTGTGTTGCTTGATTTTAAAGCAAATCATCTGTTCTATAGAACAGGTCATGAAAAATTGTTCAAAGTTGCCCTTCAAATGGAAGCCTGCTTGATAAACTGTTAACCAGACTACATTTTATTCATTTAATGTAAATTCCTCTTGTGAATTAAAGTGTAATTTCTTACATGAATCAAAGAGTGGCTTCATCACATGAATCATAGTATCTTCCTCACGTTATTCGATAGGTACTTTCATGTGAATCGAGGTTTCTTTTTAACAAGTTTTTTAAAAACAAGATCACAGACTCATTGTTGTACAAATATCCTAACTCCATAGAAAAAAAAACAATTTGACATAAACCCTATTTTTGAAATACTGAGTATTAAACAGAAATAGATAATGTACAAAGAACTAAGAAATTTTTTATAAAGAACAAATGTGAATACTAGGTAATTCAAAGAGATGAACAGCAGTGGTTGAGCAAAGTAGTAACACAGTTAATGTGAGATGTGGGTAAAATATGCAGCAGTGTAACACTTAAGATCAGCATAAAGTGCTTATCACGTTTAGTCTTATCTTAGACCAGGTAAAACAAAATTTTCAACATTATCTAAAGATTAATTAGATCATTTGTTCATTGTAAATAAATTATAATCTAAATTTTCTAACAAACTTTCAAAAATTAAAAAAATAATAATAAAACAAATACAAACAAAATGCTTTGAAAGCACTTCTATGCTTTAATAAAAAAAAAGGAACTGAAATGAAAACAAAAAAAAACCTATTTATGACTGCATTTTTTCTACTGCACACCGGACCATACTACAACAGGGCAGTTCCTAATCTTTACAACAGACATGTTTTATTAGTTATTAAAAACATATGCTAAGCTCAGGAAGCAATAGGATGGTGTTCCCATAAGAAGTTTGGTTCAGTTGTTTCTTGAAAGGGTTTGATCTATCTTCTGTTGAACTCTTGTCTAATGACTGGAACACAGAAACATAAGTTCAATCACAAATATTATACAAAACAAAAGTGACATTAAAAAAAAGCAAATATAACTGTTCTTTAACACAAACAAAACAGACAACTGGAATTTAGCATACAAAAATAGACATAACATTAAAAACTGCAGATGTCATTACATAACCACCAATGGCAACTGTGGGCACACTGTTAACTTACCGTAACCATCTCTACACAGGTCTCCTTTACTGCACATGTCACAAGGTTTTTAATGAGTTATGTACAAAACTTAAGCTACTTTTTTGTTCATGTTATACCAATCAGTACAACATAAAATCCTAGCTAATAAATAATCCATATTTTAATAGTATACAAGTTATAAGTTCTTAATTTCATCAGGCAATATTAAAAAAGATCCTGAATTTCCTCTAGTGTGAGAAATGTGACATTTTTCCTCCACACATCATCTCCACCACCCTTACAATAAGTAGGGAATTTAACATAAGTTATTCATTATAATATTTTCATTGCTCAGGCAAAATGCAATTTTTATATCCTTCAATCTTGTTTGGTTACAGAGCTATCAAATAGAAAATCAGACGCTTTCTTGCCACACCCACCTGTCACATCCTCTCTCTCACAATTTCTCAATAGTTCTCTCTTACATTTAATACTGTATTATTTATAATCAATAGAAAGCCAATGTTTTCATTTATCAATTGATGTATTATATTACATTGTTTTCTGATCAGAAAATTGTCAATTTCCCTTTCAGCACAAGCTTCATTTACACGGGAACACCGACTAGCTTGTATGAATTTGTAATGGCTCTTATCACATAGTTAGAAAGCCAGAAAAATGTTGATAGTTAAGGGACATTGTCTGTTTTTTGCATGTTATTATTCAATGTACTTTAGTGCATTATTTAATTTGATAAAAATTACTTAGTGCACAACTACCATTTGTATAAAAAAAAGTAGGTTTAAGTGTCATTGACAGTCAACAAGCTCAGGTACTTTATTTCATGTATTTCATGCTTATTCTTTATTTATTATTATTATAAAAGTAACTAAAATGTAAATATAAACAAACTCTTTAGGTTAGTTAAGGTTAGATTAAGCAAAATAAATAAATAATAATATAATAAAAATATTTTACAAGGTACGCATTGCATTGGCATGCAAGCAGCTCGGAGTAGCTCATGGTTAACGTAATTCGATAGCACAACATGAGTTGCATGTTCCCCAAGTGGTTTACAATTTATAATGGTGCAAGTAGTTAGACACAGTTCAAAGGGCAATAAAACAATACAATTTAAGTATAAACAGATGTATACTGTTATGAGTTTAAAGCTACATGGGATAAACAAATGTAGTTTCAGGTTACAATTTCAAGTCATTCTATAAAAAAAAAAAAGGGTAATTTATATTTAGCAAATCATTTTAAAAGTTATAGTATGGAAACTGTTGTTTGCTTTGTGGTTACTAGGTTGATTACATTGACCCGCCCAGTATGGAAAGAGTAAACTCTCTCAACACGTACTCTGCCAGATTGATGGACTATGTGACCACCTTTTACTTGTTATAGTTTCAATACTACTAACTTTTAATATAGTATGTGTATCTTCACAAATTTGGCAGACTTTCAGTAAAATTACGTCTTTTACGTACAAAAAATCAGATTTTTTGCCCATGAATATATCAAATCTTTTTTTTTATTAGTCGAAGTGCAAATTGATTTCATGTTAAAATTAAAAATACTTTTCTTCGTCTTAAAGATCTCAAATTCAATTTGCATAACTTCTAAAACCTCCGAAGTACATTTCAAATGTTTTTTGTTAATGAAGCTATATTTTATCTGTTATTTTCTCTACCTTAACTCCATACAAGGTTGGTAAATTTGACTGACTTTGTAACCACCAAAAAAATACCTTCACAAAATTTAGCAAGCAAATTCTAGAAAGAAAAAAAGGGCAATTTAGATTTATTTCAATTTGTTTTTTGTGGTGGTTATTAGGCCAGTCAAACTGATCAACCTCGTAAAGAGTTAGGGTAGAGAAAATAGCAGAAAAAATATGAAGTTTTTACTGAGAACAAACATTGAAATGTATTGAGAGAGTTAATAATCTAGCTATATCATGGCTTTGTAATTTTTGTTTGGTGTGTAAAAGTAATAAATTAATTTTACAAGTTTCCATGCTTATTTTGTTCAGTAATTGCTTTAGAATGTGCTTTTGCCTTTTAAAAACTATCAGTAATTTAAACCTATGGGCTCTACGGACATCCCACACGAGCTTACAGAATTTAAGTGGTACAGAGGTAGATTTAATAAATGAGAAACATCACAATATTTGTATTATTCACAAGTTTTATGAATGCAAATACAGAAATGGGTATCATGCTCAGTCTTGGTACATCTTTTGAAACCAAGCTTAGATAACCTGATTTAAAGAACACATGCTTCTGAAAAAAAGAAACTCACTAAATGAAATTGATAAATTCATCTGACTTGCATTAGGTTATTCTTTTTGAATAAATGTACTCCACAAATGACTGAATGTCACAATATTAAGCTTGTTTGCAAGGCTGCAAGGAGATTTAGCTTTGCTAGCATCATTCATTGTTTATGCAAGATCAACATGGATATTTATGAAAACAAAATAAAATATTTAAATATGGTCTGCAGAAAGATTTACATAGATAACATGCAACATTAGCTACACTACTTTGCTAATGGTGATTCTGAATTTTCAAATACAAAAAAAAATACAGCCACTGACCCTCAAAGGACTTTAAATCTTCATCTTCACAACAGCATAAATACTTAATGTAACCATGTTAAAAAATTGAAGCTAATAAGCTAACAACTGGCTGACAACATTGCAAAATGTTCAATATGTAACTTATTATATCTAGCCAAGTAAAAGAGTTCAATCATTAAAGACTACAAATGCTGGATACCTGGATTAGGAATTAACATCAAAAAAAGAATAAAAATAAGAACAAATAACTAAAATTTTATCTTTGCTTACCACAAAACCAAAGCCATTTTTAATCAGAATCTCACGTATCCTTCCATAACCTTTAAAAAATTTTTCAATATCTCTTTCTCGGCAGTCATGGCTTAAGCGACCAATATATACTCTTGTCCCCATTGCCAACCTGAAATATTAAAGCATATGATTAATGACCATCACTGGAAAAAAATTAATTAAAAAAATTCAATTATAAACCAAAGTTATACCAAATGGTTTTCCTTCTTACTACATGTTCAATGTTTTCAAGCCTTATCTCCATATAACTGAGGACAGTTTAAAGCAAGAACATCACATCTACGATTAACTACACCCCCCAAACCATCAACAGAATACTACCGCACTCCTGAATTAAACATTCCAAGTGCCACAATACTATGGAAGCATTTCCACTTCCAAAGGGCATATTAAACAATTTTGTTCAAATTTTGCTAAAAAAAACATTATCCAAAGTGAAATGGTACAATGGGCTATCTGTGTTTTGGTCACCATGTCCTATTATAGCAACTTTTTTAGGTAAATCATGTGAGAATATTCAATTTTATCATTTCTTTAATTATAAGATTCATTGATTAACTTATCACAATGGGCTCGGTATAAAATACACGAGTTCGTATACACATTGGCATATGTTAAGTATTTATACTATAACATTTAATAAACCAAGTGTATCTTCACAAAATCTGGTACTTTTAGTAAACACCAAGTTTTTTGTACACAAAAAAATCAGAATTTTTAATGAAGCATTTTTACTAAAGATTTGTTTGTAAATATAATGAGTGTTTTATTTCAAGTCAGAGTGCGAAGTGATTTTCATGTTATGATTAAAAGTACTATTCTTCATCCCAAAAATATCACATTTCATTTGTGTAATCCCCAGAACCTCCTAAATACATTTCAAATATTTGTTTTTAGTAAAACTTTGTTATCAGTTATTTAGTGATATACTTGATTCTTCAGCCTGTAGACAAATTCTCAAAGTATAATGAAAAGACTAGTAAAATTAGAAATAAAGTGAGCAGGTGTGCCCTTTTTTTGTTATTATTGGTCACAAAGTTTCAAAGTACTTCTCTTAAGATTTTGTATTACTAAACATTTCATATTTATTTTGTGTTTATTCAATGACTAAAGTAAAACTCCACTAAAAATAAAGAAATAAATCGCGACTTGTGTTAGTAGATAGTTTACGTGACACTATTGTAATATGATACCATTGAAAGCAACAAGACAAGCAAAAAGATAGCCAACTTGACCCCTGCTCCAAAAACAGGATGTCTAATGCATCAAATTATATATCCTAAAATGTTTTCTTGGAAAATTCAGAGAAATCACACCGCACTTAGAACCAGTGAAAACATTTATCCTGACAACAGGATGTGTAATTTATCAGCTTATGTATGTATCTACAGTGTTCACAAGACTTTGAGAGTGACAACACTGCACTTTGAACCTGTAAAAACATTTATGTGGTTCGGTGCCAATACAATAAACATTGCAATTCTTTGAATATTGGTAATCCTTTCATGGTGTTTGGAATTTAGCAGCCTAAGTGTACAAAGATGTTATTTGAACAGATGCTTATAAAATTCTATTTCCCTTTTCAGCATTTATGCATCAACCAATCAAAAACTCAGGTTTATGTACTACTTATTACACTCGTTTTGTTTCGTAAGCCTTAAAAGTCTAATCTTCTTTTTTTAAACATTCTTACTTTTGCAGCTAGCATAGTTCAGAAATTCCATTTTTTTTTATTCCTGTAAACTCCCAGTGGAGCATAGGGCCGCAACAACACCCCCCCAACAGAAGTTGTTGTTGCAGTTACTTGTAGCAGGTTGGTTTTTACGGGGCGGAATTACTAGCCCCGGGCCCAACCCTCCTCCTGGATTTAGGACCAGGCAAAGGTGGAGGTTTGGTGTGACAGGGATTCAAACCTGCACCCCTCAGATTACGAGTCAAGTGCCCTAACCACCTGGCCATCAGAAGTTCCATTAGAGTTGTGAAATACCTTGAGTTGTTACGGACTCTTACCTACAAACCTAACTGATATCTTGGCTACCATACATTACATATATTTACTCATAAATGCTTAAATTTTAGTTATTTTTCTTAAAACAGAACAATAAGTGAAATTTACATAGAAAAACAATAATTTCTAGTACTCAGTGTTCTGCCCAGGGCACATATTTGCATATTTTATGCAGAAAATTTTAATTTCATGCATCAGAATTTTCTAAGTGTTCTCGCTATAAATAAAACCCTATTCAGTTGGAATTTAGATAGACGTAGATAGACCCACCCATTGCGAAAGAGAAGACAGTGAAATAATTGATTAGCAAATTTTACTAATTGCACAGCTCTAGTTTCTACAAATTTTACTACAAAACTACCTTATCCTATCTCAAATTCCATAAGAATATTTTTATATGGTGCTCAGAAAAAAATGGGATAGTTATCCTCAAGTGGAAATCAGACCCGAAAGATAGATTCATCACTGCACCTTCACAACAACAACAAAAACTGAATATTTTATCTAAAGCAGTTCCATACTAACAATTTAGAAAAACATACATTTTTACCTGTCCATTAACTATTTTGACACGGGCTCGGTACCTGGAACCGACCTCGTAACCATTTTGTGCTTGTTATAGTTTTAATGCTATAACTTTTAATATTTTAAAGAGTATCTTTACAAAATTTTGTAGACTTATTGTAAACATTAGAAGCCTTTTGCACACAAAAAATCAGATTTTTTAATGAAGTATTTTTACTTATATTTGTCCATGAAAATATTGATTCTTTTTTGTTAACTAGTCTGAGTGCATAGTGATTTTCATTTTAAGATTTAAAATACTTTTCTTTGTTTCAAAAATCTTGAATTTTATTTTCACAACCTCCTAAATACACATACCTTTTTTTTCAATAAAATGTTATATTTTACCTGTTATTACATGTATTATTTGATTCTTCAGCCTGTAGACAACTGACTGAAGTAGAATGAAAATAAAAATTGTAAAATTGGCAATATAATGAGCAGCTGTTTTCTTTATTATTGACCATGAAGTTTCAAAGTTCTTCCCCTGACAGTTTCAACTGCTAAACATATCCCATATATTTTCTGTGTTTATTTTACTGTCACCATCAAATTACAAATCCACTGACAAAAAGCAATTATTCACCGCCCATGTTATAAGACTGTTTACGTACAACTGTAATAAAAAACTCTCGAGTGCAAAAATGCACGTGTATTCAGTGAGGTGACAATCCTCTTGCTCCGAGAATACAATATGGGATATAGCAGTTTATAGCACTACAGTCCTGCAGTTTCCAAATACAAAAATTTGTCAGCAGTCATTGAGCAAGTGTTAAAACTGAAACCAGCAGGTTGATTCAAATTGGCTGGACCAGTAAGGATCAGTGGTACATCAAACGATAGCTCTTTTCTTGCTCTATCTGACCTGTTTCATTGGATACAGAAGCATTTACTATTTGAAAACACAAATAAAACTTGAAACCACTTAAAATTATTTTTTGCCATTGAGTTTATAGAAACAAGATAAAATATGATGTTGTGGACTACATAAAACATAAACTGATACATAGAATGTCTGCCCAATTCAATCTGACAGCATGTCAAAAAAAATTATTAATGTGGATTGTAAACAGCCTATGCATTGGTTCGGCAACAAGTTGCTTTACGTCATATTATCTGGCATAAATAGACTAAGTTGTCCTGATAAGTTTCCTATACATCATATCATTGGGTCTGGCTACAAACGATGTGTCACTTACATCATAACATGATGTAGAACTGGTAGAGGTTACTACTGATACACACCTGTCAATCACAGTATTTCAACTTTACAACCCATGTGATTACAAAATCTCACCTATTCTATCATAGGTAAGCTCATACTTCATTAATGTTTGGTTATTGACAATTTTAATTTCATTTATCCATATAATATAAATACACTTGTATGAATTTGAAATAGTTGGATGTTAATGGGACTACATTTTGTCTTGCCTTGACACAGTCATTACACAATATCACGTTACCAGGTAAAGAGATAAATCAAACATTTTGCTAACATTATTCCAATGGGAAAGTAGCTCTGACTTCAGCAAAGGATCAAGTTACAGGTACAACTTTTAATTGTTTTTCACTAATAATGAACTATATAATATACTAATTTGTGATTGGAATCCAATGGTGTGTGATTTTTTTGTTATTTTCATTATTTAAAAATCACTGAAACCCCCTGTATAAAGTATTTGAATTCGTTGAAGAAAGACATGGCCACCAGATATTCTTTGTACCCATATCCCTACTCTGGCTCCAATACTTTTCTTCACAATTACAATTTACAGAATTATAATATTCTAATTTGCGTCATTCCCACTTCTTCTCTACGTCATTTATTACTTAATTAGTTAACTACAATTACTAGATCCAGTACGATAACGAATTCTCAATAGTAAAGTTAGGCCTAATTTTAACTTAGGCTAACAGGTTTACCACCATTTCTAAAATTAGGCCTAAAATTAAACATAACATTAAAGATACAATTAAAAAAGAAACAAACAGTAAAACAGTCAAATACAAGTATACTTATATATCAACATATTCAAAGAAAGTAATTTACAAAATATATTACCTGAAAAAGCCGATTAAACAATCGATTAACTATAATGTTAGTACCGCAACTTCTCAACCGTTTTTTCTTTCTCTAATAACCAAACTACGGGGTCCACAGATTTGTTCACAAGAAATCTTCTAAAGCGTCCAAAATCTATTGTTAGTCTCGACACCAGATAAGAGCGCTATGCTTTTCCTTCAAAAATTGAGTACGACAGTTATTCTTTTCTTTTTTCTTGTTAACTTTGCTACATTGAAAGAATCATTTTCATATTTTTATTTTCTAAAACATGCCCCCTCGTGAAATATTTTTTAGAAAATTAAAAGAAACGCTTTTTCTACTTTGGCCAAAAGGGAGTAAGGAACGATTGTGGTAATTGCCACAATGCTATTGGGAAATATACATAAGAAAATCGAATATGGATTAGTGCATATAGATTTTTATCTCTATGGGTTAGCGCAAATAATTACAAGTACAAGGTAGAGTTTGGAAAATATATTACCCCTTCAGTTCTTGTACTTAAGCATACAATACTAGTATTACTAAAAATGTAGAATGCTGATGACATATGAAAGGCTTTTTATTACCATTTGATTTATTAATTTACAAATGTTGGCTTAAGATTAAACATTTTTCATATTGTTTTAAGGTATTCTATTGTTGGGCTGGTTCTTTTAAATTTTTTTTGTGAAAATATTGCGAAGTTAAATCCACGTAACAGTAATATTTACTTTCATGCATTTGTAGACCTAAGTTCATAAATAAACTTTTCAACTTAGACTCCGAAACTGCTGTAGGCCTAATGCATTGTTAGTAACAACGTTTAAATGATTACTCGGTTGATAATAAACCTAACTTACGGATTAAATTTACTCCATCAACATATTTCACTCACTGAATACTTCAATGAATTCTCAATCACTACTTTATAAATACTTCACTAACTTCTTTCTCTTCCGACACTTCACTGATTACTCATATTTACACTGAAGTACCCACGTTTAAATGTTAGTCGAATATTCAAGATTCTTGACGTTATCATCAATGTGAACTTTCTAGGTATTCTAGGACTACTTTTATGGACGTGCTTCATTTTAACGTCATGTGTCCTTTATCGAACGTATAAATTATATATATATTGCAGTCTTTTTTCTTTGTTTGTTTGTTTGGAGTTAAGCACAAAGCTACACAATGGGCTATCTGTGCTCTGCCCACCACGGGTATCGAAACCCGGTTTCTAGCGTTGTAAGTCCGCAGACATTCGCTGTGCCACTGGGGGGGGGGGGTATATTGCAGGTCCCACAGCACTAGTTAGGTAAAATGTAATACTCACGTGGTATACAGCCATACCATTCTCTCCTGACATCTATAGTGATATATTTTTTTCTAAATTACTAATTATTTAGTTTCTACACTGTCATACTTCAGTGAATTATCAATCACTACTTTATAAATACTTCACTAACTTCTTTCTTTTCGGACACTTCATTGATTGCTCATACTTACACTGAAGTACCCACATTCAAATGCTAGTGGAAGATTCAAGATTCTTGACGTCATCATCAATGTGAACTTTCTAGGTATTCTAGGGCAACTTTTGTGGATGTACTTCATTTTTACGTCATGTGCCCTCTATCAAACGTCTAAATTAAATATATTGCAGGCCCCACAGCACTAAGTTAGGTGATCCGAATCCGAGAGACGTTTTTTGTGGGCAGTCAAGTTAGGAGTGATTCGAGTTCGAGCGAGATTGGTAGTGAACAATGCCACGAAAAAGTGAACAGGCTAGCAGTCATACTGAGAGAGGAGGGAAGGACGTGGACGATCCTCGACGATGGGTGAATGGGTCGGCCACTTTTGGCCCAGTTAGCGTGTCGCACGACATGGAATTTGGTAGAGATTGTGCCAGCAAACGAGTGAGATCCGATTCAGGATCAAGTGTCGAATCCATCGGACACAAAAAGTCGACTCCTGATAGAAAACAAATAGTTTTTGTAACATCGCCGGATGTCAATATTGCGAAGGTCAATCCAATGCTCTTAAGTTGAGCCCTTAATGATATCATTGGGTCCACTGACAAAATCCAACTTGAAACGGATCATCTAAAGATCATTTGTTCCTATTCACAATCAAGACTATTGTCTAGCACAAAAACCATCTGTGGATATAAAATACGATCCCAGATTCAAGACGTACCCCCACCTTCTGTTAAGGGTATCATTCATGGAGTCCACCTCGAAATTACTGAGCAGGACTGTACAACTATAGAGGGGGTTATAAAGGCAACTAGGATGACTAGATACAACAAGGAACTAAAACTTAAAAAACCTATAGGTTCCATGATACTTCAGTTTTCATTTAAGACCCTCCCTCAGAGAGTCCAACTCTGCGTTTTGTCGTTTCCTGTATGGGAATTTATCCCCACCCGACAAGGTGCTATAAGTGCCAATGTTACGGTCATACAGCGAACGTGTGCCGCAGTAATGTTCGTTATGCTACTTGTGGCGATAGTCATAATGTCAAGGACTGCACTAAGCAGACTCCAGTGTGTTGTTGATGTGGGGATGAACATTCGGCAGCATACAAGGGCTGTAAAAAATTCCAGGAGACCAAAGAAATTCAAACTGTCAGAGTACAATCAAAATTGAGTTACGCACAAGCAGTTCAGCATGCAGCACAGAAAAGACAGCGTGTGGAAACAAATCCTCAGCATAAGGAACCACAGAAACCTCGATCTTCTGACAAAAGTAACGACAACACCTCTCAACAGGTTAGTGTTTCAAACAGTAGTCGTATGTCACCTCAACTGTTTGAACAAATCGTTACTTTTGTAGCCAAAATCATTTCGATCGCTCAGGACCAGTCCTTTTGGCAAAAAAAACTGCAGAAAAACGAGAATATCTTTCATAACCGAATTGGCAAGTACCATTCTTGGTTATGATATTAATCCCGACTCACTTTATGAACTGTACCAAGTAAGTTCCCAAACAAATAAACAATAGGCCCTTTACAAATATTACAGTGGAATGCCAGGGGCATTAAGGCTCGTGCTCCATTCCTTATACGATACATTGAAACTCACTGCATAAATTCCGATATTAAATTCTGCATACACGGGTATAAACCTGTACGAAAAGATCGAGAACACTCAGCAAAGGGAGGGGTACTAACCCTTGTCAAGAATCACTTGCTCTTTACTACCGTTACTTGCCCAGAAAATATAGAAGCTGTTGGGATTCAGTGTCAGACTTCTATGGGAAGTGTCACGATATTTAACATATATAGCCCATGTGTTGCCATTGATCCGGTTGAGTATCGAGAGTTTTTTCTTCTTAATAGTATACTTTGTGGAGATTTCAATGCTCACAACCCGTTATGGGGTGGAACAAAAACTGACTATCGAGGTCAGATTCTCGGTGATCTAGTTCTGGAATCTGATAAAGTGGTTTTAAACGACGAACGTGGGGCATGTCTGGTTCGGGATAATCTCTCTCCTCTAGATCTCACTATTATAGACAGTAAACTTGCTAGTCTTGCTACCTGGGATGTTTTGGATGATGATCTGGGAAGTGATCATCTCCCGGCCATACATCTCTTAAGATCCCTCTTGAAGTTAGGAGTACAACGACCTTCTGGAACTTTACCAAAGCAAACTGGCCTAACTTCCATACGTTCCTTGATTCTTCCGTTCAAAACATAGAAATGTCTTCTTCTGTTGAATCTGTACATTCTCGTCTAGTAAATATTAGTGGAATAAATTTCTCTGCTCCTTCCAGAAACAGTCTGTGGGTGATAGGGAAACAACAAACCCCTTATTGGAATATGGAATGTGAAAAAGCAGTTAAACAAAAACACAAGAGTAGGGACGTGTTTTAAGAGCTTTCTTCCTACTCTTGTGTTTTTGTCTTAGACGATTATATCGAGTATAAAAAGCAGAAGGCACATTTGCCTTTTCAACATCCGTCAAATATGTTGATCCAAGAGATTTAAGGGTAGGAATACAGATAGAACCCCCACCTTTCATTCGCTTTACGAATTTCCATAGTTTACTTAAATTTGAAGAACGGTTGAAACTAGAGCAGTAATTACGCCAGAAACGTTGTTGGCGTTCTCGAATTGTACGTTGACAAATGGTGGGCAAATTGATCAGATAGCGTCAGCAGTTCGATAAGAATTCTCCTGAATTTTTAACGCATAGAAAATTGTTTGAACATGAACACTATGCCACCATTACAAAGAAGCCAAACAATAGTAATGGGTTGAACGCTCAATTCACGATTGGTGAACTTAACCGAGCAATAAAGACGACTAAAAACTCGGCCCCTGGTGACGATCAAATTCCTCATAAAATCTATAAAAATCTCTCGCTCAGTTTTGTGGTAAAGCTGCTGGAATTTTTCAATAAAGTGTGGAATGAAGGTACCCTCCCTTCAGCCTGGAAACACGCCATAGTTTGTCCAATCCCTAAGCCAGACAAGGATCCCAGTTTGGTTACATTGTATCGACCAATTGCTCTTACTTCTACTATGTGTAAAATTATGGAGCGAATGATTGCATACCGTTTGAATTGGTATTGTGAAAAACATAACCTTTTCGACCAGTTTCAGTCTGGTTTCCGTTGGAAGAAGTCTTCACTTGATCATTTGGTACGGCTACATGAAGATGTCAACAAATCATTATGTAACAGAGGTAAGGCAGTGTCTGTATTCTTGGATATTGAACGAGCATACGATATGGTCTGGAAAGAAGGTTTGTTATATAAACTCAATAGTTATGGTTTTGATGGCCAACTATTTGACTGGATTAAAGATTTTCTTTCAAACCGAACCTTTAAGGTCAGAGTCAATGGAGCTGTCTCTGGGGAAAGAGTCTCGGAACATGACACTCCCCAGGGTAGTGTTATTAGCCCTATTCTATTCCTTCTAATGATTAATGACCTAAGTGCTTCCTTCATTAATAATGGTACGAATTATAATATTTTTACTGATGATCTAGCCCTCTGGAAAACTGGTCGTAATATTAATCACATTCAGACCTGTCTTCAAACAAATCTGGACAATTTAGCCGATTGGTTTTTTAAATGGGGCTTTACGGTTTCAGCCCTAAAATCTGCAGTTCTACCGTTTTCTCGTTCTTCAAGCA